CCCCTAATCCCCAGTCGCCCTTTAAAAGGAGGGGGAGTATAAAAGGTATTTTCTCCCTCCATTCTGCATGTATTCGTGGTGTAACGGTAGCAAACTCGGCGCGTATCGAAAGACTCAGGTTCGAGTCCCGGGTAGGGCATTGCCCATTTTTCGCGTCTCTTTCTTCAAAAAAAATCCTAATGACTCTTAATGTACTCAAAGAAGGCATCTTGGGATGCAGAACTAAAGTGACTTCCAAGCATCCGAGTAAATAATTCCAAAAATTTTTGATTCAGGTATGAAAGCAACATAGTATATTCACTACAGTTTTGAGTTAAAGAATGGCAGAAAAAAGGCCACTTTCTCAGTTTTTATTGGTGCATTAAATAGGGTTAAGAGGAGGTATTCGCCTTTGTTATTTTGCGGATGCTTTAAAATAGGAATGAGTCATGTTCATATTCGCATACTGAAGATAATAAAAAAGCTTCATGTCTCCATGAGTATTCGCAATATACGAAAAAATGAATCTAGGAAATGATTTTCGCTTGGATGTTTGTTTATTAAATCTCCAAACTTTGGACCGGGATGATGATTTCACGATGCTGAAGTTGAAAAGGTCCTTCTCGCAGACTGTCAGTCAATGTTTTGATAGTTACAGCTGCATTTTAGTTATAAGGTCATGAGCTGATTGAACACTCTTCGCTTAAAGCACCGCGGGAAGCTATTTCATGCCTGTTCCTAAGCTGCCAAACGGTTCAAAATCTTTTTAACTACCGTCCAGTCATTTCGGCAAAATTCTTAATCAGTGATAAACGTCTGCCTTGTCTACTTAGAGAAAGAGAGTATCTTTCATCTTATCAGAGTGGTTTCCGGAAAGGCACACCCACGATTGATAACGTTCTGCTTCTAGAAAAGGCTGTTCGAAATGCCCTTATAAAGAAGGATCGCTTATTCTATATTTTCTTTTATTTTGGGAAAAACATACGATAAGACAGTGATATGAGATCCTATAGCACTTTTAATAATAGTGCTAATTGCGAGGTAACTTTTCACTACCATGTAACGGTTTTTTTAAAAGGAAAAACATTCAAATTACTTTTTTTTTTTTTTTTTTTTTTTTTTGCTATCCAGCGTTTTATCTGAATAAGTGCTACAAGGCAAGCACTGATTGTTATCATATTGACTCTGTAACTTAATTCGAGATGAGTGTGTCGGACTTGTTTGCTGAGCGTTACTTAGTAGTCTAAACGTTAATTTCATCTGAAAAGAACTTACTTCAGATTCATAACAGACTTTGTATTTTGGCGATTTATTGATCTGCTGCTATAGTGCTAATACTATGTTTTACTAATGCTATAATACAACTGTAATACTATAACAGCGGCGCAGTGCCATCCACAAAATATATGAATAAGCAAGCAAACATGGTTTCATGTTCTTTGAGATGAAGGCTGACTTAGATTTTTTTTTAAATCTTCATTCCGTCCGTGAGCTTTATGTAAGTGGACTACTGATTCTGCTGCAACTCGAAGCAAGTTTTTAAAGAGTAATATTTGACAAATCATCATCCTATCTTACGTTTTAGAACAAAAAGATTAATACTCTGTATCTATTAAAAGTTCTGTTGTACCTGCCCCTCATTGCTCCATATTTACTTTTGCGCAATTATTTTAACTTTTGCGCTATTCGTAGTTAATTATTGCTCGGGCATTATGGAAAACAACAGTCCTTTGTGTCATTAAAATTTCCTCCATATCCTGTAGACTTGTTCTAGAGCTTTCAGGATATCTTTCAGACAGAGTGCAGTGTTTTAAATGCTTTGAAATACCATTGCAGTTGAGGAGGGAGCAGTTGTGTTAGTTTAATGGCATAATTTGACAATACTTCTTCATCTGGTTCGATTTTCAATGCTCGATTATTATTAGTAGCCTTCGTATCAATTAGGAACAATCGTTTGGTTTACGTGTTCATTGCCGCCCAACTGATACAGTGGTTAGCGTCACTGACTTCCGTGCTGAAGAGCCCGGGTTCGAATCCCGGAGAAGGCATGGATATTTGCAAATGTATGGGGTCCCTGCGGCATGAGAGCACTCTAAATAAGCGGCGAGCCGAAAGTCCTATCGAGAGGTTGTTGGTAAGAGAAGAGGGGTGAGAGTACTTTGGACCCCCCCCCCGATGTCTGTCCATCAAAACTGGGGAAGGAACTGAGCTAAAGCGCACTGCCACCTTTAAGGTGCTCAAGGCTGCTGTCAACGACAGGGTAAGCTTGCTCTCCTTGCCAAGAGGAATTTCTGGGTCAGACAAGTAAGCATTGTAGCAGCAACAACAACAACAACGTGTTCATTTGCTTGTTGAAGAGCCCACATCCGCAGACAGCGAGCAGTTTGAAGTCTACCTAAAGACCAATCGCAAGCGGAAAAAATTTATATCCCGCATTTTCTTATTTTCAGTTTTTGGAAAAAGTAGTATCTCGAAATCATCCATAGTTAATACTTCAAATAACATATGTTTAAGTACATCCAGAGCTCATTGCAGTACTTTTGCACTCGTCTTGTAACGTGACGAATAAGCCTTTGTGTGCTATTGACACAATAAAAAGGTTTGCAGACTACATAAGGCGTTACGGCTTTTTGTTGTTTTTTGTTTTCTAGTATTTTATCTTCACATGACGGAGAAAGAGGTTTGTTATTTATTCAGTGGACCTCAAACTGGCTGTTGAAAAAGTTTCATTCAAAGACCTTTTTTATTTTTTGGAAATATCCTGATTACATTATTATCCGCAAGCCTGTTCCTTACGCTTAAATGATTGTGATTAATTTTGTTTTGTTGTTCTTGAATCCGTAAATATCAGAGTTAACGCATTCGCAAATAGTACTGTAAAGCTTGCTGATATCATTCCTGAGAATGATGTCTTGTTTCTAGAAATGGAAAAGAAAATTTTCAGCAAGTAGTTCTGGAATATCAAGTTCAGCAATAATTAAGCAGTATGAAACCCAGAGCTAAATACTAGGACCCCAGCAGAAATGCAGAAAGAAAGCGATTCTGCTTCACGATCAAATTGGTGTGTGAGCTTTTTTAAACAATTCCGTTAAACGAGTCGTAATCATACCAAAGATACGATACGGCCTTCGAGCTGTTACCAAAACCTCACTCTTCGACAAGGAAAGAGTCTGGATCTCTACTTATCTTTTTCTATCAGTACATGACATTTTAATTCTTTAAAACTGAAGAATTAGTTAAGAAAGACACCTTTACTAATGTTTTACATTTTATGAAAGGCATTAAATTTTACTATTTGACTAAATTGATTTTGCGTGTATCAGTTTTGCATATATCAATTGCACTGCTTATATCAGCGAATAATTTCAGGTTACATGATATCTGCATAGAAACATCTTCAGAGTTTTCCAATCACTTGAAAAACTAATGCCTGTTCGCCAGTACACTCAAAATGTGACCACGATTAGGATTTTACATTCTACTGATATATATACATACATATATATGTACTTCGCCAAGGCACTTCGACTATAGGATATTAATTTTATCCATATGCGTACTATTTTAATTTTTGTTAACAATTTAACTGTTTCTGCATGTTTGCTACATGTTACATTTCATCCGATTTCGCATCAGTGCATAGACCCCCCCCCCGCCGTAGTATGCTTGGTATATTTTGTAGGTTGTATTCCAAACTGGATAATTTTGTGGTTTATCCCTTTGCGGCACAGTGTGTCCGGTCTGGAAACACCTAAAAATTTCCTTCTATACGCACAGAAAAATTGAATGAAAGAGGATTTATAGGTTACTATAGGTTACTCTGAACCTTCTTTAGTAGATGGCAGCTAACACAAACCAGTCCATATATTTTAACCATGTTTAGTTTTTTTTTTTTTAATATGCTCATTTTTTAAAGAAATCTTCCAGATATTTTTAGGGTATAAAAGGAATTGTTTGAAAAGAAATTTCTATGTTATTTTTCTGGCTTTATGCTAATCTCCTTATTCTATATTAGTTTTAAATTTTTACCTTGAAATCTTGCCTAAAATCAGACGGCGAACCCTAGGTGTGCCCAGACCGGGCTAACCGATAATCTAGGACAACTGAGAGTCTGTATTCTTTGTTTCTCCGCATCTTATCGGTCAGTTGATTGACAACAATGCTTGTTCCAACACTCCTTTTGAAGCTCTATTCAATCAGTGTACCACTTTGGGCACACCCACAGAATTAAAACGATAAGTGCTATGTTCACAAAATTTTACTTGTGTACTCCTCTAGGCCTAATTAGACTACCTACACTTTTTTTTTATCAAAACTCCGACTTTAAAAGGTAGCGTGCCGGAAAGGGTTATACTCCAGGATCCAAACAATTGCTCATTAAAAATAATGAATATGCTTCATAATTATTTGGTGAAAAGGCAATGTATATTAGAATAAAATAAAGGTTTTGGGCAAATTTAAATGCATTTTGATTAATGTATATCATTTTTAATAAAATATATCAATGCCATATGAAAGGACTTTACAAATCATACAAATAAAGCAAAAATATATACGAACACATTTCATTCAATAACAATGAAAAGGCGCCATTTATTGGAAAATTATGCTTTCTAAATTGTAATTAATGTACTCTATGACAATCGCTATGTAAACTAAAAGTAAAGTCATGGGCATAACAGAATTTTTAATTAATTAATTCCAATTCTCCCAATAAGGAAAATAACGAACTAAAAAAGCATTCGGATGAAAAGGAATAACTCTTTGCACTATTTTCGCACTGGGCCGAATTTTGGATTATTTTCACTATTTTTAACACACGTATTTTTCTTATCAAGATCACTCAGCTGCGTAGTAAATCAACAATAACAGCAATTTCTTATCTCGGACTAACATATATTGCGAGCAATGACAGACGACTAACATACCAGCAGCCCAATATTCCATATTGAGGGACCCTTGCAGACCTAAATCTTTATTTACTGATAACAGTTCTGTTTGTTCAGAGTACTTAGCGGTTTTGAAGACTGAAAAGAGCTGTGTTTCGAGAGCTTTTATTGATGTTAGAAATTCTTGAACGAAGCCTTTATGTTTAGCTCAGCATATAACTGGTATTGTTTTCTGAAAATTTATATAAAATTTTATCACAGTTAATAAGAATTTTTATTTAAATTGTTGATTATTTTAAAATTTTGATCTATTTTTATAATAAAATGCTTAAATACCGCGATTATAATTTTGTAATTAATAATGCTTGTTTGTGTTTTTCAAATTAATATGTTGGATTACGAAATAATAACGAATTTATTGTATATATCACAATTACTCCCGTAAATAAGTTCACACAAAAAAAGAGGACTGCTAATTCAACTTAAAGTAGGAAAATCTGGAAAATATGTAATTCACTAAAGAATCCTATTACATCAGACGCAGAGACATTTTGAATTCCAAAACGATCCTTAGAAGATATCTAGGTTAAAATAAAATCACGAAAGCTTTTTTAAGCACTAAAATTCAAGTACGTGGTTAGAATGTCTTCGGAATAATAAATGTGTAAGGTTTATTTTAATTAACTCGTTATTTGTATTAAATCTGGCCTACACTTCTATTGTTTCGTCTGATCTATAAGTACATGTAAATGAAGTGAATTTAAATGACGAGAAAGTATCTAGTTTTGTAAAATGCGGTGTGATAGAAGCCGCCCAGACGATGTAGTGGTTAGAGAAGCCTACTGCGGTACCCAAGGTCCCAGGTTCAAATTCGGGAGAAAGCATGGATGTTTGTAAATGTATAGTGTCTTTGCGGCAGGGAGCACTCTAAATATAGGGCGAGCCGAAAGTCCTCTCGAGTGGTTTGGCGATAGCGGGGAGGGGTGGGAGACCTATGGATCACCCCTAAGGGCCTCTTTCTCAAAATTCGAGTGGAAGTAGAAGTCCAACCTCCTTGAGGTTCTGGCAACCAATTTTCCATGAAGTATGGACTCGATAACAACAACAGCAGTGGGCGAACTCAGTCTGAGGTAGTGAATCTCTTCTGTTATTGTCTGCCTTTAGCACCGTTGTTACACGTCAGTGAGTTCGTGTTTGACAGTTTGATCGCGGCAACGCATCCGAGGGCTATCTGCTTAGGAAGAAACATCCCTTCATGGAGGATTTTCTAAAGAAAACTGTCTCATATCCATGTTACACATGTGTAAAACCACGAAAACACCCATGAAGCCAGCCCGTTCGCCTAGAATCGAACCCAGGTCGAAGTACCTGTGGTCAGTGACTTTACCGCTCAGCCGACGGGGGAGGGGGTTTGCTCACTACTGTTATTGATCACTCGTGTTAAGCCTTAGGAATTTATTAAAAATAATTTTTATAAATATTCTATTAATATTCTGCATTATTTTTCGTCATTGAAGATTTTAGTATTGTCCTTGAAAATAAACAAATTTTATTATCTCGAAGTATTCAGAATCAGAGGTTTCACTGCCGTTGCCCTTATGTGAGAAACGAAATTAAAAACAGAACCAAGAAGGAAGTGATCCTCTATAAAGTTCAGAAATTAACCACAGTGCAAAATAATCTCACCATTAGATAACTTCTCCATTTTTAAGGCTATGCTTTGTTGTATTCAAATAAAAGTTTCTAAAATTTTCTATATCTAAGTAGTACTGAGGATTCATATTTTTTTCCTCTTACGGCCATGCTAATAAAAAATGCGATCCCTCACTGTTGTTTTAAAAAGTGTTTGGTTTTGTTTTGCTTTTATTTAGAAGAAACAGTTGGTTCGACTTCGATTAAAAAAAAGAATTAAGCCAGTTATCTTTTAGGTGAAGTTTAAGTAAGTTTTGGTGATAATTCAATCAGTTTAGTACTCCATATCGTAAAATATCAAAGACTCAATGCTTGATTAAAAACGTTGTTTGAAAAGTCTCAGATGTGGAAAACTTATCTACAAAATACGATTATACTTCTCTGAGAGCTCTGAAGTTAATTTACTTTCGAGAACCCAATGTACGGGCAGTATGCATGTGCATTTATGTAATTACTTATGTAAGTTTAATATTTTTACTAAAAGAAAAATAAATGAATTTTTTATCTAAAAGTCGTAGCAGAAATATCAAAAGATGAATAAAATATTTCAAGCCCATTACTATTAAAATCAAATTCATTATATGGGATTCCAGCAAATTATTTCCCCTTCCAAGAAAAATTAGGCGTACATTTTTATAACTTTGAATCAGCGAGTTGAATGCTGGCCATCTCCGTTTTTTAAATTAAAATTTTATTTATTGTTTCTTTATTTAGGTGTAAATGTATACTTTATAACGAAAAGAAGTGGTCTTTCTAATACAGGGTAAATCAAAAAGATTACAGCTAATAGTTGATTATAACTAGCAATTTATTGGCGTATATTTGCTCTGTGATACATCAGATTAAACTCTGACTGCCCAAACTCCACACATTAGAGACACTCTGTGTAACAGCTTTTCGTCGCGCAAAACACATGCATAGCCATTCCTCCTATAGCAGGATAGATAGGTTCCTAAAAAATACTATGTTGTCTGAAACAGTGTAGTACGAAAATAACAACCAATGTTGTCTTATTTACATTAAAATTTTTCGCAACGTCAGATGCCTTTTCTAAGTTTAGCAAAGGATTTAAAATTTGTATTTACATCTCCAAAGAAATAAATTTTCTTTTAAAAGTTTTCTTACTTTCAGACTTGTTTGGGACTTAAATATAATTTCGCATTAATAAATTCTAAATACGAAGATCATTAGTAGTAACAAGTGACCAAAAACTTACCAAACTTTTGTTTTCCAAAATTAAGATTACGTATTTTATGCAATGCATTAAGTGAACACTTGGAGCACAAGATGCATACTTTGATGGGCACGACTCATTTTCAAAGGAATTTCGATGTGTGAGAATGCGAGTATTCCCAGAATTTATTTTATTTTTATGTGTGTAAATAAAGAGGTTTTTATTATGTACTACAAAGGATAGCATTACGTAACTTAATTTTGTAAATGCTTAGAATAAAAATAGTGTTATCGTCGAAATATGTACATACATAAAGTGTTATAAAAAGCATATTCTTTAACGTATTAGAATGAAACCGTGTTGCCGTAATATACAAGAATTTTTGCAATATTTTTTATCGCGTAAGAGGCGAAACCATATTATAAGAGGGATACCTGTAGTGCCAAACAACAAACATTAAGTCACCAAATCTACCAGACGTCAATCCTCGCTCTCATTTTCTCCTTGCTGGAGGTGGGGGAGGAGGTGTTATAGATATCGTTTTTGTATCGTTCTTACCATCTGAGCGTCATTAGAAGTCTGAACTCAAAATCAAAGATCGCTTATTGCTCAACACAGCTATATTAATATGCTATAATGAAGCTCTTTTTCTTAATAATATTAGGAATATTTGTGTCTACCTTATACTGCCAAAAATAGTTCCAAAAAGGGAAACAGTTACCTGAAACGGTTTTATATTGTGAGCAGCTGATTTACCAATCTCGATAAAGTTAATCTGCGATATTTTTAGGTGCCAATACTCCATAATTAATTCAAACAGTTGAGTGCTTAAATTTTTAAATATTAAATGTCGTATAAAATCCTACTTTATTTTGTTGATCAAAATGCCTTGCAAAAACGATCATCGAGTTATCCCTATCTTTTAGCGGAAGGGGGACCCCCCTTTTTTTTTAGCCCAAATGGGCGTTAGCCCAGAAGTCTCAAAATGGCATTTTGCTTCGAATCAGTTTAAATTTTCAAATTGCTGCCACCAATTATTAATATGGGCACCTGGAAGCCCGAGTTTGGAATTTGTTTTATTGTCTATTTCATATTTTGTAAAACTTTAACGAAGTTTTGATTCAAAACGTCAACAGTTTTAAAGCAAGCAGTGGCAACATTGTAGGGAATAAAACACTTTTTATCTCCAACGCGCGAGACTCTCTCGAAAGTTCTAAAGATATTCTGTATTTAAATATGTTTAGCCCAAAGTGGTGTTAGCCAAATGCTCTCGAAACGTGTATTTGTCTGTAAATGGAAAAAACGCCCATTTGGAGGTAGTCTAAAATATAAATTATTTTAGATTTTTTAAAATTTTTTACTTTTTTTGGTCTCGATTTTTGTTTAGTACAAAACGAGAAAAAATGTATAAAATTTACGCGCAGAAAAATGCCGCTTGCAATCCCACACTGAGAAAGAAATTTTGCAAAAAATTAAACAGAAAATTAATTATCTGATTAATGGTTAAAAATTAACTTTTTCTTTCTACTGTGTAATAGAGATTTCTTTCTGATTTTGTTCTTAGGTCTATAGTGTAGTTCTTAAATATCAAATTCAGCAATGAGTGATGTTATTTCAGTCATGATTTAAACTCCTGAAAATATTCAAATAGTTTTTCTATATGTCGACCACGATCTAATTTTTATAATTTTAGATAAATATATTATTATTTTCAAAAAATGTAACATATTCTGAACACATATAGAAAGAAATTTATATGAATATATATATTTGTTTTATCTGAAGTAGAAAACTTATTAATTATTTTTTAAATTTATTCGTTCATTTACCCATCGAATTCTGACAAAAATTCAATACGCCTTGTCTTTTGTCTTACGTTTAAGATGGGGCAAGAAATTGCAAATTAACTGGGAAATTAATACCTTCCCTGAGTTAATTACTTGCGGAGAAAGTTTTTAATGTTACAAATCGTCAAGAGATGGCGACACGAAAGGCTTGGTATCATTTTCTACTTTCAAGTTCGCATTTTAAAACTAATTAATAAAATGCTTTAAAATCGTTTTCATTCTGAAACTTTAATTTAAAAATCATTTTAAGGACAAAATATTTTGTTATTTATCCTACTCTCAGCGACTTATTATACTCCAAAGGGGGGGGCAGAGAAACAACATTTGAATTCTTAATGTGGGCAACCCAATTTGTTTCCGCATCAGAAAATTGTTTTAACTGAATTAAAAAAACTAGTACAATCAACCTCGTTTTATGATCGCTGACTCAGTTTATGAGTCGTTATGACTCATCTCGTTTATAACTTACGACGACTCAGGTTGAAGCCGATTTAGAAAATAGGCCAAAAAAAGAAAATATCTATTAAAAACTTTAGAAATACGAAAAACTGAAAATTAATTTTGAGCAAAAGCCCAATTATAAAATTTTGACTGTAATCAGCTTTAACGGGAGTAAGACAGTGAAAGCTGTTGACTTTAAAATAATTATTTAATCATACTAGCAATCTTATTGATGAATATGTCAGAACTGATAATAACGCGAATGAACTGATTTTGTTAGAAAAAGCTGAAATAAAGCGTTAGCTCATGCGTATCAAATTCTGTGAAAGAAAAGAAGAGGCGAAACGCGAAGTGTTTTTTATTCCCTCATGAGTAAGATCATCTTGTCTACATCTAATAATCTAGATGAGTGGTTTTCAAATTGTATTCCGCATAACCACGGGGTTCCGTAAGTCAATATAAAAATTCGAAAATAAAATTATAAAACCCTTACATTAGTTGTCTAGCGTTTATTTATTAAAAAAATATAAAGATACATTTATCTATATTTGAAATGCAAGCACTTCCCAGCCACTTGAGTGGAAGGGAAGGTGACACCTGAAGGAAACGTTAATGCTATTAATAAGTAAATCACATTAATTGTATGCTAAACACTTTTAATAAAATAGAATTTTTAAATAAATAATTTTAATAAAAATAAATTTTTAATAAAAAGTTGATAATTATTTACCTAAAAATATATGTATTTTTTTCGTATGTGTGAAAGACACATTTAGTATGTAAGAGAATGAGAAATGGGTTGTCATTATTTATTCTCACGTTTTCTTTCACTTGGAAAGTTTTCGTAATTTGTTTATTTTAAGTTAAAAGTAATTTATTTGGTGGTTAATTCAACACATTAAAAGCATTTGAATTAAATGGAAAATTTATATTTAGCTGTCAAAACGTTTGAATTACGAAGTGTAACCAACAGAAATTTCTTTCAAATACCAATTTTTTAGATTTTATACAAAAATAAACGTAAAATGGAATTTTTTCTCCTTGCGTCATTATTACTATTTTTATAAATATTAAGAAAGTAAAATTTTTAATTTAGTTAAAAAAATTTGCTTTGTTAAAAAAAAAATCAAATCGGCCCTTAGTTGCTTTCAGATCGTGCATTCGGTCCGCTTACAATTTGAGTTTGAGACCACTTGGTTACAGATAATGGGAACATTCCTGAAGGTCATTTTTGACCATACACCGTTTAAAAGTTACCCATTCTTTGGTAATATTGCCATTTTTTAACCTTTTAATGGAAATATTGTAAATACTTTTTTTCATTCCAGGATGAGGAGATGATGAATTACGAAGGCTACAGTGAGAATTCTGCAATAAATCTGTCAACTTCCCAAGTTACCAGAGGACCTGCAACGGCTACAAATGGAATGGGTGATTCCGAAGAGAGTCAAAGTTCTGTAAGTATGACATTGATCGAAAGCTCGTTGTTCATAATTGCTTAAGATAAGAAGGTGAAGGATCATGTAAAACACATTACATGTCAATTAGTTGTTTTGAAAACAGACTTTTTAATCTAAGCGTTAATTCATATTTCATTTTAAACGTCATTGTATAGAAAACCACATTCCATTTCCAAACCACAAACCGTTAAACCAAGAATCTTTCAATCAGTCCGTTTTTGTCGTGTACTGAAAACTACGGAAATTCTATTTTCACAACCTCTTTCCATCTGATTATCCAAAATGGTAACGAAGTTAATCTAATCTCTTAGAATTCCAGGACTAGAATTTTTTCTCTCTATAGCATTGAGCAAACCAAATGTAAAATTGCCAAAAATATCTTGCAGAAACAATAACTTGTTTCTAAATGTTATTTAGCTATTAGTCATTTTAGTAAATGTCTTGAAATATCTTGCAATGCAATCTTATAAATTGCCTAATGAGACAAGATACTTCTTTGTGACATGTTTAATTCACATAACATCGACATGCTTTAATCACACCGAGACGGTGTTCTATCGCATGAAGAAAAGTTGATTTATTCGAAGTTTGTAGAAGCTATTAGCTTTTCGGAGCAGAGATAGCGAAATAAACTATTTTGGCTTCGTCACGATTCGAACCACGGACTTTTCATTTGCTGGTTATGCATGCAAATGAAAAGTTGCATTCATGGAAGTCTTGCATTCGTGGAACGCTGACGAGAGAACGCGATAATGTCTCCCCACTTAAAGAGTGACTAGACAGAGAAGCGAGACTAAATCCAGGAGGCGATTTATCGTCCACCATATCTTATAGTTTACATGTAGGAACTATTAGGATTTTTCAAGCGAGAAACGTGAAAAATCTGTGTGAAAAACATGTTGCTGAATCACGACTTTACTAACTGAATACGTTAACCGCCTCACCTCATGAGGCACTCTAATAATTCCTTACAAATTAAGATAATCAAACGGTTAAATATTAGTCGTAGGCTATGAAATCCCATCAAGCTATGAAATCCTTTCTATCAATGTCTACGGAAATGGAAGCAATTGCTAGTAACAGATAGCTTTGTAGCAAATGCAGGAAGAACATTTGTTACTACTATGAGGAGAGCGTATTGCAGAAGAGCTGTTATTTATGTTTCTCTTACCCGACCCGAGCCTGAGTAGAAAGAGTGGAGTTTCATAATATTCAGATATGTGCCTAAATTTCATCTATACACTCTGACTTTCTCCTTATCATGATCTGAATAAAACAAAAATTTGGCACAGCACTTCAATTTTCTTGAAATCGATAGTGACCCAGATGGTAGTGTTATGATTTCAGTAATTATCAATAGAAATTTGAGCGATATATTTGAAGTTATTTCTGCACTTATGATGAAGCATTGTGTCGTATTTGAATGAATCTTTTATTTAGAAATTATGCTATATGTTGGTGCTGTTGATTTTTCCATTTAATGTATGGTAATATCGAATATACCCAAGTAGCATTAATCACCGACATCCGTACGATCTAGAAACTGATGAAAAATGGAACTCGAATGCTCGAAAATTGATTATTTCAAGTTTTGGGTAAGTGAGATTGAACGTTTTTCTCAAACAAAATTCACCAATAAATGACGTTAACTTTCTAGCTGAAGTATGTAAATCACACGTTTTTAGAGCGATGTTGATATTATTTTCTTTTCTGTTCTTTCTGGATACATTAAAGTACTGTTATAGTGTCCCAAACTATATAGGTCATCGTCTAAACTGTACATATAAAGCCAGATTCCTTAGAAAATCCTCCTTAAAGTAACCCCCCTCTTAGATAAATAACTGTAGAGTGCTACAGTGCTTTGTCATATTTACGTAAACAAATATACACGAAATAAACGTTAAAGCAAAATGGAATGTAAATTCTCAAATTCAGCTAACACACTGTATATTTCGAACCATCGTGTCAGTCTCACAAGCAACCCTCTTGAGTATTTAAAAATGCCCCCCAACTTTTTTTTCAAATTCCCTTATAACTAATGAGTTAAACTGTGACCCGTTTCGCATGTTACATTTTTATTCTACTCTTCAAAACTATATGAAACTGTCGCGCCAAATACGTGTGCCACAGTTCCCGGGAAGAAGGAGCACACATATACAAGCATTACTTTATAGGACTCTATAGATTTGCCTGTTTTATTTTAAGATGAACTTGGTTGGTTTTTGTGGTTTTCAATACGTGTAGGATGAATATGAGCCATTTTCTTTCAGGAAGTCCTCCATAAAGGCATCCTGCCTTTTAAGCAGATATCCCTTGTGGTTTTGCCCAATTCGAATGACCTAACGTTTCTAAATGTGCCTTATCTTCGTAGATCAGGTGCATTTAACAAATCTGAAATCCTATTACGTCCTCTGAAAGCCTGAATATTGCAGTTGTAAGTAGTGTAAGTGTAGACAATTTAATAAATGACACTCTATAGAAATAGGATTAAGCTTAAAAAAAAAAAAAACCCCACGCTTCATTTTTATGTATCTAGCGCATTTTAATGTTACAAATGGTTCTTCTAATGACATCTACAGCATATATTGAAACAGACAGAAGATATTTTCCTTCCTCTTTTCTGCATGCTTTCGTGACGTAACGGTTAGCACAACCAGGATTTAGCGATTGGGTCCCCTAATCCACAGTCGTCCTTTAAAAGAGGAAGTATATAAGGTTTTTCTCCCGCCTTCTTAGCATGCTTTCGTGGTGTAATAATCAGCACGCTCGGCGCGTATTCGAGAAGTCCGAGATTCAAGTCCGGGCGAGGGCATTACTCGTTTTTCACGCCTAGCAGCATCAAAAATCCTAATGTCTCTACAGATAAAACTAGCAATAGTTATATTATGTCATATTAATCTCAGTTGCGTACCAGCTTAATGACATCATTTTTCCTTCATTAAAATGTCTGTTACAAAATGTTATGAGAGGTAGCGAAACACTCGAACAGATACAGACTTCCCCCCCCTCTCCTCCGAAGTGCTACCTACTCTGAGCAGGATGTCTCAAAATATTTCCATTTTTAACTGTCCCTTGACCTGGTTTTTCATAGACCTATGATTCTAGTTTAATAAAGGCGTCGAATGAAATAGAATTTTAGGTTATGTTAGGTTTCGTGAAACTAACTTTGGTAGAAATCTTGTGGATTTCAGAATAATTTAGTACTATCTTCTAGGGTTTCTGTAATTTACTGTTATAAATAGAATGCTGAAATCTGCCAGGGAAGATTATCAGTAATTTATTTATGAAACTGATTATATCGAAATTTTAAAACTTGATAGCAATAAATTTGCTTAAAAAATGACACGAATTTCAGCTGAAAAGAGAGCCTTTAAACAGATAACTATGTTACGTTTAATTACTAAGAAAAGAAAATAAAAGTGCTAATTATTGATTAAATGGGATGCAATCTCCATTAAATTGAAAACTAATGTCGGGATTAAAGTAGCTGCACTCTTTAAAGAAGATAATGAGTATAATGTAACTTACTAAAAAGACAGGAAGCTGCGCTGATAAAATTTTATTTAGAAGTTTCAAAAAGTTCAGATGTAATTTTTCCCTTGTGGTAAGATTTAAAATTTTCTAGCTCCTGCATATAAATTAGGAGCTTTTAAAAATTAAAAGAGGGTTGTAATGTTCTAGCTGAAATAAAGTTCTTTAACTGCTAGAAACTAGTATAACTGAGTAGGGACTATTCGCTAAGTTCTTGTAGAGTAATACTCTGAAGAAGGGTCAAAATACGCTTTTACTTGAATTCATGATATTTACGGACTGCTGCTTGGGCGTGCAGGAAGCCAACACTTTTGGTTTGGACTTGAAATAGAAAATGTTAAATTAAACTAATTATAAATAGAACTAAACAGCCGAAGCTGTGAAGAGCTGTTACCGCGTAACTGGCTCCTATCTAAAAGTCACCGGTGTAGACGTACTAAACACAGCCGTAAATTAGCAAGCTTTAATTCGTAGCTACAACGTGACGAAAAGGCAGAACACGCTTTCTCTGCAACTGTTTAGCTGAAGTACCTCAGACCTCAGCTTAAATAGCAATTTCTCCCTTGAAACTGAAAACTCATTCTGGTAGGAAAGCGTAGGTAGGAAAATGAGGAAGTAAAGGAAAGCTGTCTTAAAAATAACTATTAGAAAAATAAATTAAAACCTTACAAGGTAGTTTATATTTTTCAGAAATTATGTATCTGAGGGAAGATGGGAATTTTTGAAATGTAGTGGTTAAAAAAACTAGTAGTTGTTTGATCGATTATGAAGGTAATTTTTACGAAAATACGATTAGCAATATCAAGAATGAATACGATTTAGCGGTATCAAGAGTTAATCTCATTTTGATCGAAATGATGATGCTAGAATGATAAAATGTAGCATAAATCCTGAATAACTTGACAAATTCTAGTATTTTGAATTTTAAACTAAGTGTACATGTTGTGTGATTTTGAAGCTAGTAAAGTTTGGCAGTTCTGTGTCCCACCCCCGAAAAAAAGAGGGTTAGAGAAACATTGGATAATCTTTAAATTATAATCTTCTAGGTCAGGGGTTCTCAACGAGGTCAGTATTGACCCCTTTGTGCGTCTATGAAAGTTTAAAGGATTTTGAAAGTTTTAAATGATCAAGGGATCGATTGGGGGTCTATAGACAAATATGCATCTACAATTGATCGATATAATCAAGATTCCACTGATTATACAAAAACTCCATTTCTGAAATTTATGATTAATTGTTATTGATATAATACTGTATCATGTAGTAAGGAAGAAACCATAAAATAAATATAAGGGAAAAATACGCTAGAATTATTTAATATATTTTTGAAAAATATTATTTTTTAATATGCGATTTCTTATGCAATGAGTTCAATATAAGGAAAAAAAACGCAAGAACATAAAAAAGCACATTCAAAAAAATTGCATCAATACATAAAGCACATTCAAAATTTACATTAATTTAAA